CTTTGGTTTCCAAACTCTCCAGGACCAGTAATTAATTCAACTGGTAGTGAGAGCACAGTGCTGAATTCTGGAAAGACATCATTTAGTCTTCCTATACTGGACAGCTATTTCTCCTTTATTAATAGTCTCTTTGGTTTTAGTACTGTTTATTTGGAACACTTTGAAGATAGTCTGGTGGAGAATTGCCCTTTTCAGTGAAGTCAGATTACCTCTATGCATTTAAAAGTAAGAAGTATCCTTTCTCCTCAAAATATACAGACCTGAAAAATGAACTCTTATAGTAGAAAATGCTTCTTACCTCTCCTTTTGATACACAGGCAAATTTTGTACATTTGATAACGAGCATTTCAAAAAGCTGTGATCTGCCCCTGAATTAGAACTTATATACCAGCAGCTAATTTCATTCTGGTTCCAGTTTTTCTTTGATGTGCTTCTTCCTGTGGCCGTGTCCTTCTCTTTGTGCTGCTCCTGTTTATCCTGCCTCTCATAGTAGTTTCTAGGACCGTCTCCCAGAAGTTTGAACCATTTCTTATCCAGCAATTTGTAGCACGTGAATCAACTTTGATATGTTTCCTAGTTCTTTCTTTCCCCTGATTATGGTTACCCTTGAGTCACATTTCCTGACAGGTTTCATTATTAATCTGTTTGTACACCATCCCTCCTTCTTTAATTGAAGGTGGGGAGAGAGTGAGTGAATGAGAGAGAACAGCTTATGCATGTTTTTTAATGCTCAAGGATCCTGTAGAACAAGTCACCTGAACTACTGTGCATTGGGAGTGGGTTGGTAACTTTGCTTCCTTCATGGCGAGGCATTGGCCACATAGTCACTTTGTTCCTTCTTGGCTCTGGCATTCTTTACTTCTCATTTTCACCCTTGTTTACACAGATATGTATCAACTCATTCTTCTACATATGAGCTCATTCCCTGCCACCTTCTCCTTTTTTCCACTTTTCCCATTTTGAAAAACTATAGATGAATGTCTATGTACATTGCAGTGTGTTCAGTATTAGGAAACCATTTCAGAAAGTTGGCTATGTTTTTCAGTTGGGAGAAGAAAGTTCTTTTTTTTTTTTTTTGAGTTGGAGTCTCATTCTGTTGCCTAGGCTGGATTGCAGTAGTATGCTCATGGCCACCGCAGCCTCGACCTGCTGGGCTTAGGCAATCTTTCCACCTCAACCTTCTAAGTAGCCAGAACTACAGGCACGCGCTATGACTCCTGGCTTATTTTTTGATTTATTGTAGAGACGAGGTCTCACCCAGTTGTTCAGACTGGTGTTGAATCCCCAGGCTCAGCCAATCCTCTTGTCTCGGCCTCCCAAAGTGCAGGGATTACAGGCTGAGCCACCCAGTCAAGACATTTCTTAATTTTTCTGATTTAAAAATAAAATGTCACTTATCTTTGAAATATTTCTTTTTGGCAAATGGTCACATTTGGCCTTTGATAGAAACTTAATACAGGTTGAGTACCTCTTATCTGAAATATTTGGTACCAGAAATATTTCAGATTTTGGATTTTGCAATGTTTGCCTATACATAATGAGATATCTTGGGGATGAACTGAGGCCTAAATGTAAAATCATTTGCTTTTTATATCCACCGTGTACACATAGTTTGAAGGTAATTCTGTATGAGAATTTTTAGTAATTTGGTGCATCAAAAAAAGTTTTGACAGTGTTTTACCTGTGACCTGTCTCATGAAGTCATGTGTGGAAGTTTCCATAAGTTTCAGATTTTGGAACATTTGAGATTTTGTACTTTCATCTCAGTGATGTTGAACCTCTAGCAGATTTAGGATGAAAGCTGTGATGTTTCTGAATCCTTATTTGTTTTACATTTGAAGTCGTTTTACTTAATAGACTTGGAAAGCAAATGATTAAAGCATCTTTTTTTTTTAATAAAAAGAAAAGGTTTTTCTCATTATCAAACCATAATTATCAACCAGTTGCCAAATTGCTCTGATGCACCCAAATTTTATAACAAATTAAGCTCTGAATGTTATAATGCAAGTTATGAGTGTGCAGAGCTGCTGAACAAAACTGGCTTCCTGGCTGAAGTAATGATCATAAAAGCATATTAATTCAGGGCAGCTGTGTGTATATTGCAAACTCCAGTCCTCTCCCTCAACCCTGTGTATTTGCCATTATCATCACCATTTTGCAGATGAGGAAATTAAGATTCAGCAAGAGTTGAGACTCAAAGCCAACTCACATCTAAAACGAGTAGTGGCATTGGGATGGCATTGCGGAAGGGAGTCCATCCAAAGGCCAGACCAAGGCAGAGAAGCAGGAAGGGGCCCAAGAGCTCACGAGACAGTGTGGGGAGGAGGACCTGGGCTGCCTGTGGAGGACCGGGGCTGCCTGGTGGGAACTCACGGACTGGATGTGGTGTCAGGCCAGATTGTGGTGGCTCTGGAAGCCCAGATGTGGGAGTCCAGTTTACTTGCCAGTAATTAAAGCGCATTTGAAGGTTTTTGAGCATATAGCAGTTAGGTGGCATTTAGGAAAACCTGTCTGGCAAGGATATGTGGGAGGAAGGAGAGAAAGTAGAACTTGAAGCGCCTAAGGAAGCCAACCAGGAGGATGAACTAGCCTGGAGCTAGGAAGAGGGGTGGAGGGGCTGGAGAAGAACGTGGACACAACGGACGCCTCCAAGTACAAAGACTTGGACTTTAGTGAGTGGCTGAAGCGGTGCTGCTACATGAGGGGGCTAGTGACAGCTTGGAGGCATTGGGTTTGGGTAGCTAGGTAAAGGGTGAGTTTCTATGAGCCTGATGTCATGCCCACCCTTCAGCTAACAGTGAGTTATTGAGGCCCAGCGGAAACCTGGAATGGGGAGCCAGAGCAAGACTGGGCATGCAAGGTGCCTGCAGCAGGGCCGCAGGACCCAGCACTGGGGGCACAGGGAGCTCTTGTGCCAGCAGGGCGAGGGGTCAGGGTGGAGCGAACGCTGGAATTGGAGGATGCACAGGCTGGGGGGGGGCGTTGAGCAGACCCTGCCCACCTGGTGCTCTCCACAGCGAGTGCTGTCTGCATGCCTTACGATTCTGATTTCATGGTCGCCTTCCAACTTCATTTTCTCCAGACTTCTAGGTGTGGGTATAAAGAACTCCTTTTTGGAGACTACCAATGGGATTAAAATAAAAGGGAACTTATAAAAGTCTGTGGGAAGCCAGGCATGGTGACTCACGCCTGTAATCCCAGCACTTTGGGAGGCTGAGGTGAGAGGATTGCCTGAGCCCATGGGTTTGAGACCAGCCTGGGCAACTTGGCAAAATCTCATCTCTACAATAAATAGAAAATTGGCGGGCATGGTGGCGTGTTCCTGCTGCTTGGAAGGCTGAGGTGAAAGTAGTGCCTGAAGCCTAGCAGGACGAGACTGCGGTGGCCGTGAGCGTGCCATGCACTCCAGACTGGTGAGACTCTGACCCAAAAAAAAAAAGTCTGTGGATCAGTTTATTTAGTTTATACCCCTGAGAAATCTATTGTTTTTTATATGCAGAAATTAAAATGTGTGTGAGGATTAAGCCCTTTTCTACACTTTGTATCTGAGGCTAGAAAAAGATACACTCCCAAGAAACCAATGACTTTGAGATGCACTTTCTTAAAATAACTGAAGTGGTGACCTCATGAGCCAGCTGATAGCTTGGGTTTGCAAATGGATACATCTCTATCAGCTGCTGCTTGATGCAGCAGGGTCAAGTGTATATGGAGTGTATTATACCATATCCTGTAGGTAGGAGACTGGTGGGTGCAGGGACTTGGACAGAGGTGACATGGTGACGTGGCGGCTCAGCACGGAATCAACAATGTGATACTGTCAACCAGAACTGGCTTTACTTGGTAAACATGACTGATGGGGTTCATGGCTCCCTGTTATGTAACAGTGCGTATCATCTTCTGGGAAAATAAATCTAATATTTATTATAATAAGAATTGTAAGAACACCTGATACTCATATAAGGGCTTTAATACTAAAGTGTTGCCATGCTCATTCTCTCATTAGTGCTTAAGCATTTTCCTTGCTGTCTTCTTCCTTTTTTACTTTGTAGCTACCAGTCCATGCCCTTGAGTCTGACTCACTGTTCAGGATGCCCTCTTTTCTGGGGTTTAAGCTGCAGAGGCAGTGTAGATCCATCTGTGTGGGGATGCTTCTTATCCTGGAGCATTGTAGACTACCAGGTTAGGAGGAAAGCAGTAGGTGTGGGGGTGGTTGTAGGTTATAACTTGATAAACTGCTTTTCTTGCACAAAATCATTTATCAGCGATGGAGAACATTCAGAAGGTAGACCCTCCCCCAGCACACACACAGTGGTTACTATACCAGGAAATAAGGATGGCAGTTATCTCTGTGGTTTAAAACCTGGTCTGGATTTGGTTTGTAAAATAAATCTGAATGAAGTACATAGTGTGCTTAAAATTCCACGTGCTTTACTGTATATGTCAGCCTCATGGAGAGTAGCCTAGCTTGCTAGAAACTTTCTGTTTTCATATTTTTATAATCACCACCTTACTGAATTTCTCTTGGGTTGTAGTCATTTTTCATTTGATTCTTGGGGGTTCTCTGGATCACAGGCATTTCATCTACATGACTTTACTTGCTCCTCATCTCTTTTTTCTCGTCTCTAATTGCTTTATTTTTTACTTCCAGAACATTATTGAAAACACCCTGACTTTGGCACCTTACATGCATGGAAACTATAGAAGGGATATAAGCGCTAATGCCAGTAGTGTTTTAGGAGCAAAAATTAAGCCTGGGGGCAGATATTCTTACTCTAAAGGAACAAGTCTATAAATGCAGCTTAAGATGCACTTTATCGACAGAGTTCTAATTCTCCGTCACCCATGGAATTGAAGCCATCTTTGGAACACAGTGGGTTTTCACCCGTCGTGTTTGGAGTTCTCTGGGACCGTCCAGGAAGGCTCTGTCTTATAGTCTAAGGGGTCATGATGACATCCTGGTGCCTTTCATGCGTCCTGATGGCCACACTCTACTCTTCCAGGCCCAGCTTCGGGCGTTTATCCCGGAGATGCTCAAGTACTCCACAGGCCGGGGGAAGCCAGGCTGGGGGAAGGAGAGCTGCAAGCCTATCTGGTGGCCGGAGGACATCCCATGGGCCAATGTCCGGAGCGATGTCCGCACGGAAGAGCAGAAGCAGCGGGTAAGGATTCCTCGGCCTGAACTGCCTTTCGCCCTTCCATCCTGATCAGCCACTCAGCCTTGTCATTTCTATTCCTGTTGCTGGAAAGTGTCTGTGTAACAGTTAGAACTGCCTCTCCAGAGAAAGTTGATGTTCTCTGACTTGTAGCCTTTCCTCTGTCACTTCATCCCTGTACAAAGGAGATGGGGACAGACCTGTGATTTTGCACTCTTCATCGGTACCTTTTGTAACACTTGGACTTTTGAGAGGTTCTTGGGAAAACCAAAAAAACTTGAAGTAAAAGTGTTCATTATTTTGAGCACTCAGCAATAGCCCTTTTTCTGTTTAGCAAGAACCACTGTTAAAAAATGTAACTGTGGAATTCGGCCAGGCTCACGCCTGTAATCCCAGTACTTTGGGAGACCAAGGCAGATCACCTAAGCCCAGGAGTTCAAGTCCATCCTGGGCAATGTAGCGAGACCCCATCTCTACAAAAAAATACAACTAACTAAATAAATAAAATAAAAAATATATAAATATAGGATTAGAGAGATGTGAGTTTGCCAATACCAAATTTTAGAAGAGAGACTAAACTGATTAACTCTTTCTTTTTTATATGTTTATTTTTCATTTAGCTTGGAAGCTTACTGAGAATTTTAATATACCATTCTTAGTCAGAATAATCTTCTTTTGTGAGAAGTTTAAGAGTTTGGCTTCAGACTGGAATAGGGTATAAGATCCAAAAACTAACCCAGACTGATCAGGAAGAAAGCCAATGGGAAAGCCTCTTTGGGTTTTTTTTTTTTTTTTTTTTCCTGAGTTGGAGTCTCACTCCTTCAGCCAGGCTGGAGTGCAGTGGCACGCAGACTCACGGCCACCTCATTGTCAACCTTCTGGGCTCCAGCGATCCTTCCACCTCAGCCTTCCAAGTAACCGGAACTACAGGTGCACGCTACCATGTCCAGCTATTTTTTATTTTATTGTAGAGTCGAGGTCTCGCCAAGTTGCCTGGGCTCAGGCAATCCACTCGCCTCAGCCTCCCAAAGTGCTGGAATTCCAGGCTGAGCCACCGAGCCCAGCCAAGAATACCCTCTTTGATATCTGGTGCTCAGTTTCTTTGTGCCAGAATCAGTCTGTGGGAAATAATAATTCTGAGAAAGTTTACTCTATAAGAGGTTTGGTTTGGTTTGATAAGTAGCTGCTTTCTTCATATTGGGACAAAATAATCCAAGTTCTTTGTGCCTTAATGTGTTTATCTGGTATTTTGTGACAGGTTTCATGGACACAGGCACTACGGACCATAGTTAAAAACTGTTATAAACAGCATGGGCGGGAAGATCTTCTGTATGCCTTTGAAGATCAACAGACACAAACACAGGCCACAACCACACACAGTATAGCCCATCTGGTACCGTCACAGACAGTAGTCCAGACCTTTAGTAACCCTGATGGCACTGTCTCGCTTATCCAGGTGAGTAGCCCTGAGGCTGCCAGGCTGTGGTTTCTGGGGCAGATCAGTGGGCACCTCACCTCTGACGGGAGGCTTTCTCTGCATGAGTTACCGAAGATCTTCTACCAGAAACTGGTTGCTGAGGAAGATTGTAAATGGTTTGTACTTGTTAAACACGAAGCTGTCAGTGGCTCTCCTGGACCTTTCCAGAACACAGCGCTTTAAAATGTTAGTGGTCAGGGAATACTCCTGAGCTACCTGCTCTGGGGTAGAATACAGTTTGTTCACAGGGAACCTCAAAAGTCCAGATCAGGGTGAGAGTGGAATGTCGGGGAGCTGACACTGGGCATCGACAGTGTGACGTGGCAGCTTCTAATACTGATTTATTTGGTTGAAGGAGAATTCTGAAAGTCCTGTTCATCTCTCTGATGAGATCTTAGTGACTCGTTTCACATAAGGTGTACTAATCATTTTATCTGTGCTGAATCTGGGAGTGCATGACTCTTAGCTTCTAGTGAAGGAGAGGTGGGAGCATCCGCCCACTGACACTCGTCACTTTCCCTGTGTTTCTCCAGGTTGGCACCGGCGCAACAGTAGCCACCTTGGCTGATGCTTCAGAGTTGCCAACCACAGTCACTGTTGCCCAGGTGAACTATTCCGCTGTGGCTGATGGAGAGGTAAGAGAGGATCTGGCTGCACCATATGAAGTACTCGAAGGTCTAGGTGAGGGAGAAGGGAAGGTTCAGAAGATGAAGGTACATGTCGGTGCTGTTATTTTATTGAAATCTTTTTTAAACATTAGACCATGACAGTTTTGGAAAACGTCTTCTGCTGTGTATATTAATTACAACAATGAAAACACGTGGGTCATGATGACTCAAACCCAGCTATCAGTAACTTCTTGTTTTGCATTTGTCATACAGCATTTTGTATTATATGCAAAGAAAGGGATTATCCCTTTAGTACTTTTATGCCAGGAATCCCAAAGAATTTCATCTTTGGGCTTTATGAAAAAAATTGGTTCATTAAAACTGGAGCTAAGGGAAGCATTCTTTTCAAGGGATAAATATTTTTGCAAATCAGTAACATGATTTATTACAATTTAAACATGTCTTTGAAAAGATTTCACAGGAAAATCCTTTCCTACCAAGGTCAAAGCAATTATGGGACATTAACCTAAAGGCATCTAACCTTAGTTGAGCTCTTGGTGGGCTAAACACGCAGCTCTATGAAGGACAGTTTATGTTATCATCTTCTCTTTACAGATGAGAAAGCAGAGACATACAGAGTTTAGGTGATTGGCCCAAAGTCACTGACTAGTGTTGAAGCTGGATAATGCATTTAGAAAAGCAGGATTTAGGCTCTGAGTCACTGGTGAAGACTCAAGCAGTGGAGGAAAGGGTCATCAAGTCACTGGACATTTCTAAAGAAACTGGTGTGGTGCATTCCGGAAGCTTGAAAAATAGCCAAGCAATGTCAAAGAGCAGTATCAGAAATAAAACGAAGTATTATCTTACTCTTGTTCAAAGCAATGGAGCATTTCCACTTAGAACACCACAAAGGCACTTTTCATCTGGGCACCTCAGGAGTGGGGGTGCTGACTAAGGTCCCGCGGCAAGTGAGTGAAGGGACAACATAGCTGGGCTCCTGGGCCCGCTGGCCATGCCAAGCCCCTGCTGTGGCCATGTGGTGGGGATTTCCACAGGACCGCCGCCTCTGGGAAAGAAAGGTGTCTGCATGTGCTGTGAGAGGCCTGCCAGGGGTATATGCCTTCAGACAGAGTGAGCGAGTATCTTCAGCTAAGGAGACTGGCAGGGCTGGGGAGCCACCGAACTTGGCCAATCAATGTATTTTTATTAATAGAAAATATGAGGCTGGACTCAGTGGCTCAGCCTGTAATCCCAGTGCTTTGGGAGGCCGAGGTGAGTGGATCACCTGAGCCCGCGAGTTCGAGACCTGCCTGGACAATTTGGCGAGGCCTCATCTCTACAATAAATAAATTAAAAAATTAGTGGGGCATGGTAGCGTGCGCCTGTAGTTCCGGCTACTTGGAAGGCTGAGGCGGAAGGATCGCCGGAGCCCAGCAGGTCGAGGCTGCGGTGGCCGGGAGCGGCCACTGCACTCCAGTCTGGGTGACAGAGTGAGACTCCAACTCAAAAAAAAGAAAATATGAAAAAAACTCAGTCTCATATCAGTGGCTTTTCTAGCACACTAACATCATTGTTAAGTCATCTATTGTGGAGTTTGGTGAATGACATATATAAAGTTTTAATAGCCTTTCGGTAAATACCTAGATTCAGTTGAATGAAACACATATTCTAACTCTTCTCACACATCTGATGAAATAAACATGATATAAAGAGAGAAAATATAGGTTATGTCAGAAGTGATAAAATGCTTTAAATTATATATTTCCATTTGCCTTCTGATTTTTTTCGGATGTTAATATAGTTGTTAGTTTCTTAGTTTTGAACCATGAGAAATGTATTTAGTTAAATATCTCACTGAGTGGTATAGATAAGACCACATTAGTGCCAATGAAGATGTTGGACCAGGTGATTTAGTAGAAATACCTTTCCTTCTCATACTTAGCATCTTTTCTCCCATGGGACAGAACGTGCTTTATGACGGTAGATGATGAAGTTGTATGGTCGTTCTGTTATCCCACCCTCATCAGTGAGGGTCCTTACTATTAGACCACACCGCCTTTGGTGTCCGGGTAAATCTAGTTACATTTATGAGGAGGATCCTTGGGGCCTTGTGTGCTGAGAATACTCAGTAATCCGGGTAGATACAAAGAAACAAACTCTCTAGCCTTAAGCAGTTTAAAATTGATTAGGGTCACAGTGCAAGTTACACAGACATTTATAACTGACCAAGGAGAGAATTTCAAAATGATATGAAACAAACTATGTATGTGGGCTTGAAAATATACAGTTTTTGCCAGGTGCGGTGACTCACGCCAATAATCCTGGCACTTTGGGGGGCCAAGGTGAGAGGATTGCCTGAACCCACGGGTTTGAGACCAGCCTGGGCAACTTGGCAAGACCTTGTCTCTACAATAAATAAAAAATTAGCCGGGCCTGGTAGTGCGCACCTGCAGTTCCAGCTACTTGGAAGTCTGAGGCAGAAGGATTGTTGGAGCCCAGCGGGTCAGTGCTGGGTTGGCTGTGAGTGTGCCACTGCACTCCAGCCTGGGCAACAGAGTGAGACTTCAACTCAAAAATAAAAAAAAGTAAATGAGAGAGAGAGAGAGAGTGAGATATTCATCTCTCCAAGATAGGGGGGGCAGCCAAAGCTAAGAAAACATGGCAGTCAAAGAATGGTAACTGCTGTTTGAAGTTGAATGCCTTTTAAACCTTCCCTTTGACAGGGGCAGGTTGTTAAAGTGATTGGGTGGTAGTCTGCTTTCACGTCATCACAGAGGGTACAGGTCCGCACAGGTACTGATGTCAGGTGATGGATGGCAGGCCGATAGGTGGGTCAGTTACTGCTGCCATGTTGATGGGGTCTGTGTCATGAAGGTCACGAGGGACTGATTAAGTTTACTTGTTCACAAAGCAAGCTGGGGAAGGGGTTGGGTAGGCCACCAGCTTGGCCTGCAGCAAAATGTAATTTTCAAAATGAACGCTCCTAAAACCTGCCTATGGGAAATGTATCTATCTATGTCTAACCTGTGCTAGCGACCCTGCCTCAATCCCCTTTAATCTTTCATGCCATATAACCTAACTTCCTTAAATTATATCACACGTGGCAATCTTCTAAGGCTATTTTCACTCCACATCTGCTTGTAACTAAATGTGTTCATACTGAGTTGCTGCTATTGGAGTGTGAGGACCTGGGAGAGCTGCACTGGGCCGGACTCAGTGAGAGCAGCAGCGTGGGCGGGCTAAAACAGAGGGCAGCCGGAAAGAGGAAGGCTGTTCACAGTCATAGGCGGCAGTGCTGTCTCGCGTCAACGGATGTTTTCTGTGGACTCATCGGTCACCTGAGAAGTGACAGTGTAGCTTGCCTCTTGTAATTGCAGTGCTGGCGGTGATGCTCATGGGAGTAGTGAGATCAAGGCAGTCATGCCTTGGGAAGCAGGAGCTTTGGAATGAGTTCATGAGTGGGCAGTTTCACAGCTCTGGGAAATCTCTGCCTCAGTGGTGATGGGTTCTGAAATCTTACTGGCACAGTCCTGCCTGTGGGAATTCAGGGCAAGTACTAGGTCAGCTCAGAGGGATGGCTCCTTCCCTGGGAGGCTTTGGACGAACATTCTGAGAAGCACTGCCGTAATCTGAGTATGATAATTAAACCAAAGCTGGAGACGTTTTCAATATCTGTCTCTCTTAGAGCCTGTGACACTTTTTTCTTTTTTTCCTTTTTTATTATGAAGTTGTGGGGTACAGTTAAGGGTTAGGTATACAATTGCGTTTCATTCAGGTACCCTGTTGCTGTGACACTTTCTTTGGGACACAGTAACAGGCTGTCACAAGGGAACATTCACTGGGCCCCAGCAGTATGGAACAGGAACAGGAAGGACTAGCCAGGAAGCACAGCTAACATCCCGAGGCCCTGGATGCCAAGGAAGTATTACACCTGAGCTGATTTATCACCTACTGTGTTTCTGAGAAGAAGTTGTCTTTCATTGCCCCTGCTGCTTTTTGTTTTTGATAGGGAATAATTAATCAATCCATGTTTATTGAGGAAAACAAACTGAAATAGGTAAGATACAGGTATCCAAAACTGAGACATCTCTAAATGCAAAGCATTGTACTAAAACCAGTGATTCTCAGCTCAGAGCCAGAGGGAACATTTGGCAGTAACTGGAGACATTCTGATAGTCATGACTGGGGAGGGTGCTATTGGCATCTAATGAGTAGAAGCCAGGGACACTGCAAAATATCCCACGATGCACAGGACATTCTCCACAATGAAGAACTGTCTGACCCCGGATGTTAGTAAGTGCCAAGGCTGAGCAACCCTGGGCTAGGCCTAGCAGGCTGGATTCTCATGTGCTTTATCACCAGTAGTCTGACTTTTGTTTTTTTGATTTTGTTTGTTTCATCATACTTCCTCCCCCACTAAAAAGAAAGCAGTTTTCGTTATATTAAAAAAATTATTTGCTGTTTGGCAGTTCTCATCAAAAATAAAAACACAAAATAACTTTGATCTGCAATTCCACCTCTAGGAATTTACCCTGTAAATAGACTTGCACATGATATCCAAAGTACAGCAGTGTCTCATCACAGCACTGTTTGTAATAGCTTGTAAACTCTCATCAGAATGTCCAATTCATTCTTAGCACTTCAAGAATTACGGGTATTATCATTTAAGTTATACTTTAAGATCTGTTCAAAATTGAGAAGAGTTGAAAAGGTCTGTTAGGAAGAGGCACTCCAGGTGTGACTTGTTGAGTTCTGAGACTGGGAACGACCTAAATGCCCATTATAAGATGACTGGTTGGATGAGTCATGGTGTTCCTATATGGTACAATGCTGTGTAGCCATTATTGTGAGTCCTGAATGAATGAAGCAGTTGTGTGTGTTCCAAATGGAATCATTTCAGAGATGGATTGTTTGTGAAAAAGCAAGTACTCAAGAAATGTGGAATATGCTGCTGTTTTTATCTCTTAACTGGAGGGAGTAGAAAGGGGAAGTGAGTGTGCAGGGAGGACAATCTTCTCAATGGTTTCTTCTGTGTGCTCTTCCAGAATTTCTTTATGCAAATATAAGCAAATTCAGAAATATCTTCTTTTTCTTTTTTTTGTGTCGGAATCTCCCTCTGTTGCCCAGGCTGGAGTGCAGTGACGCGCTTACAGCCACTGCAGCCTCAACCTGCTGGGCTCAGGTGATCTTTCCACCTCAGCCTTTCAAGTAGTGGAACTATAGGTACGCACCATCACGCCCAGCTAATTTTTGATTCATTGTAGAGATGAGGTCTCACCAAGTTGCCAAGGCTGGTCTTGAACTAGAAATATATTCTAATCCTCCCTTTATGCAGGAGATAGCATGCTGAAAACCCTCTTCTGTACATTGTAGGTCGTGTAAATGTACAAGTGTGTATATATTTGACCAAAATCATGGCAACTTATTAGAAAATTTCTTTTAAAAATTTTATCCCTTTTGTGACTTTGATTTTTTACTGTCTTGTCCTTTCTGCCTCAGGTGGAACAAAATTGGGCCACGTTACAGGGAGGTGAGATGACCATCCAGACGACGCAAGCATCAGAGGCCACCCAGGCAGTGGCATCATTGGCAGAGGCCGCAGTGGCAGCTTCCCAGGAGATGCAGCAGGGAGCTACGGTCACCATGGCGCTTAACAGGTAGTGGCAGGGGTGGGAAGCAAGGGAGGATGGCACATAGAAACGTTGACCTCAGACTGTCACAGGCGGCAGTGACACCCATACTCTCGCCTGTAGGATATTGTAGGCTGCTGTGTGATCAGCCCTTCCCAAGAAAACAGCACTTTGTGTCTTGAGGTATGTTTAGGAAAGGCATTGCAGAAGGGAGGCTCCAGGAAAGGTGGTTTTCAAAACCAGGTCGAGTTGTTTCCCGCTGGGCTCCTTCTACCACAGGCTGCTGATAGGAAAGACCACCTCCATGTCATTCTTCCTCTTCATTCCTGACCCAGTTCTATTTTCCATAGACCCAGCCATTTTAGTTAATGGTTAAGAGGGGGCCTGTCACTTACTAGCTATCAGGCGTAGGTCAGGTCGCTTGAACTCTTAGTGCCCAGGCTTTCCTATGATGAGAAATGCGGTTGATAACAGTACCTGCCTAGCTGAGTTAGCTACTGTCTGTAGATAGCGAGATCATTGCCAGTGTACTGCAGGGGCTGCCATTCTCATGCATGGCCCCTCTTCATCCCAGGTGGTCACTGAACGCTCACCACATGCCAGTCAGTGCTCTACCAGGTGAGGCTATCAACAGAGAAAAGAGTGCCCTGACATCTAGCCGCTGCCCTCAGAGAAACCACACTCCTTCTGCGAAGACTTATTTAAGTAAGACACATAGCAACAGCATTATTTAGAGCATAATTCACTACCAAACTGGGTAGTCCAGACTGTGAACATTGTAGAAATTCAGAGGAGAGGGATCACTTCCCCCACAATATAAAATCAGCTGAAGCTGAGGTTGGCTGTGGTAGATGCTGGAGAGCCATGCTGGGTTTGTGCAGTTCACTGGATGAGGCTGTGTACATGGTGCCTGAAAAGACAAAGCTAGATTTGAGCCCTAGCTCCAGCACTCACTAGCTGTTTGACCTTGAGAAACTCAGCCCCGAGCCTCGGTTTCCTTATTGTTTTTATGAGGATAATACTCTCACACAGAAGCATGTGTATGAGGTAGTACATATAACACTCTCATCAGAATGTCCTATTCATTCTTAGCACTTCAGGAATTACAGTTATTATCATTTAAATTATACTTTAAGATCTGTTCAAAGTTGAGAAGAGTTGAAAAGGTCCATTAGGAAGAGGCACTCCAGGTGTGACTTTTGTTGAGGTCTTAGAAACTTAAGTGTCAGAATGGAGATTGGCTTGGGCAACACAGCAAGAGCCTGTTCTATAAAAAAATTTTAAAAATTATCCCGGTGTGGTGGCATGCGCCTGTAGTCCGAACTCCTTGGGAGGCTGAGCTGGGAGGATCATTTGAGCCCAGGAATTTAAGGCAGTGGTGAGCTAGGATCATGCCACTGCACTTCAGCTTGACATAGTAAGACCCTCAACTCAAAAAAAAAAAAAAAAAAAAAAAAGAATAGAGATAGAGTGACTGATTGTAAAGGAAGTATGGTCAGGACTTGGTGGTTGATTAAGAATAGGAAACTAGCCGGGCTCAGTGGCTCAGCCTATAATCCCATGCCTTTTGGGAGGCTGAGGTGAGTGGATTGCCAGAGCCCGTGGGTTCGAGACCCGCCTGGGCAGCGAGACCTCTTCTCTACAATAAATC